AACTATTAAACCTGTGCTCTAGAGCCCGGAATCCGCAATTACTGAAGCCCATGAACCCTGGGGCCCGTGCTCTGCAACTAGAAAGCCAACAAGAAGCCCCTGCTCACTGCAACTAGAGAAAAGCCTGAGCAGCAACGAAGACTCAGCACAGCCAAACATAAATAATTTTTAAAGTACCTATATAAAAGACTATCATAGAAAAACTGCTAAAACTATGAGAAACTCATAGTCTTGCTGTCTCTACATTACAAAATTCTCATACTGTCCCTCAGGAAAATGTTCATTAAAATGTGAACCTAGAGAAGCCTGGAGGTTTTTCAGACCCAATCCATGTATTAATAAAAAAAAAAAAAAGCTCAATTTCTCCTTCTTTTTGGAGCACAAAATAACTAGAAGTTCTAATATTTTTATTCTCAAATCGCAATTGACTTGCCTCATCTCACTTTGCCAATTACTAGTAGTGAAGGGGCACAAAGCTTCAAAAGCTGTATCAGATGCTGAGCTAAGATGCTGTAGTTTATAGAATAATGACAGTACATTACAGAGAAACAGTCAATGAATTTCATTGAACTGAATCAATATTATTCAACTGATGGCTTTAAGTCACCAAAAGTAAGTTAAATTATGTGTTGCATATTACATGTAAGCAAACAGGACAGAAATCCAAAACAGAGTGGGATATTCCCCAAAATAATGATCATGTATCCAAAAAATTTACTGATTCAGAATAATTTATTACCCAGGGTCTCCAGTTACCATGAATTCTAGTCACTTTCAATTTTCCCCCTCCAGAAAGAGAGGAATTCTTAAAGAGCCTATTGAAGTTCAGTCTCCTAAAACATATTTACTCTTTCATGTTATCAAAACTAGTAGAGCCATCAGTATTTTATCCACTAATTTAAAATAACTTCCAAACTGCACTAAAAATACATTTTTCATATTCAAAGTAGTATCAGACATCACAGACTTCATGCTTAACACCATTAGTAGTAGTAGTACGGGACAATATTTATGTTCCCCATAAATAACAGAAAGAGTAACGCCTTATGAGTCAAGAAAATCACTCAACAGTTTTTAAATGTTTTAGAAATTACGGTAGCTATAATAAATACAAGACATATGTTCATGTAAATTTGACATCATGTAAGAATATGAAATAGACAGAAAACGGTTCACAGGAAGGAAAGATCACTGTGGACTAGAATGGACTAAAAGCCAGTTTCACAAGAGAGGGACATGAGCTGAAGTAGGATTCAGAGCTGGAAAGGAAAAGCCATTCAAAATGGAGAGAAATAATGTGCTATTTGTTTTCTCAATAAAAATGTCTAATTCAAGATACCAAATTTAAGACACATTCAAGTAAAACAATTTAAAGAAATATACCATAAGAGATATACCTTTTCCGAGCATGATATTTTCCCCCTGGTATACTCTATATCTGTCATTTAACTTACAAAAGTGATAAAACTTCACTTTGAAAAGAAATCCATTTGAATAATTTCCTGTCCACTAGAGGGCTCCAATATTTCTTTCACAAATGGAAAAAGATAGGACATTACAATAAAAATATTCATTAAGCACTGAAAAAAATCAAATTATCATTAGCTCACTTAATCCCAGACTAAACATGGTTACATGTGCTACAATTTTACATTCATAGCTTAAAAAGGTACAGGATTCTTTATCACCTAGAATGCTTCAAATAACCAAAACTGCTTTGCCATTATTCTCACACTGTCAATGTCTCTCTTACATAGGGTTTTCAATTTTATAGATATCATAAAGTATAGTTCCAAACAGTAGTTCCAATTTTTATATAATAATTTTATAAATATATTATTTTACATCTTGAAAACTTTCCAAATCCAGAAATGAAATTACCGGCTTATCTAACCAGTCTTAGGCTTTATTACTGATAGACTAAACACTTTCTTTCAAAAAGCCTAAATCATTAACATAATTCATGTTACAAGTATAAACAATGAATACAGCCGCATCATGAGCTATGATTTGGGCTGAGGGGGAAAATGAATCACTTAAATACAATGTTTTCTAATGACACTCGGTTCAGGATATTTTCAGATTTTTCTCACAAATTAGTTATTACACTGAAATGTCAGTAAATCTCAATTCAAACTCAATCACCTTTAGCAAAGAAAAAGTCAACATTTTAAGTAAATACATTTATACCATTTATAGAACATCTTTACAGAATGTTAATTGAAAAAGTATCAACTGCAAATTATTTTTTGTAAAGAATACAGCAAATCCATTCACTAGGGGTACCTACCATTCGTACCCTCCCCTAAAAGACCGACTTGCTAAATTTGGATTCTAAGAAAAAGAGACCCCTTATGGTACACAAAAAAATATACTGAATGTTTAAAAATAAATTTTAAATGTTTGTTATATTTACAAAATAAAAGTCATGCTACGAAAGAATCGATTTTAAAAAGTGAGTCACAATTATTGTTATAAGGAGACTTTACCAAAAACATCAACTGCTTTAGCAATTATTAGAAATCAAGAATGAACTATGTCTATTGAAACCATGACAGGGTTTATTATAATTTCACTGCCCCACCTCTTCTCCGAAATAGGATTTTCCTATACAGTTGACAAGCACCATTAACAGGTGAAAAAGTGTAACATTTGTTTCTAAATAGCACACAGTGTCACCAAGGAGAAACTTAAAATGCTTACTGCATCTAGCAAATGTATGTATTCATACTTGCAAGAATATGCATCCCAATCAATTCAGAGTTATGCTTCAAGGGAAGTATCAGACTGTGGAGAGGTGGGGCTGAGAAGGCTGATGCTTTTCAAGAGTGGTGGCATTTTCCTCACTTTAAGTCAGAATGTAAGTGCAGATTGTCAATTATTGATAACGAAAACTTTAACAAACATCCACGACCTCTAACCGGTATTTATCATGTTATATTTCAAAAAGCTGTAATTCTAGGTACATATCAAAGGAAGACACTTAAACAAAAATGCAAAATGAGTAATAGCAAATGACGGTTTAAAAGGTTTTAATGCTGGAAAAAAATACTGAAGGCCTCCAGCGAGTTGTATGGCTAGAAAATGAAACATAAAAATTATTCAGAATCATCTAATCTGAGCTGTACCTTAGACACACTCTGAAACAGCATCACCAAGGAATTATATGTTTATTACATAATACTGCTTTGCCCTTGCTTATCACCTTTAATCAAGGGATCTCAAAGCACCACAGAATCATCAAGGCCTTAAAATACAGTCCAGAACAGAAACAGTTGTATTTGATAACTACAGCTATTAATACAACCTTGCCATCCCTTCCCGGCACCCTGATCCGAACACTAGCTTCCAAACCTCCTCTGTGACTTGGAAACGGTATTCTCCAAATCACCCCAATTTGCGAGTGAAGCTACGCACATTCAGCTCCTTCTCGTCACTGGGCCTAAATAAAGAAAGTTGTTGCACTGTTTTAATCTCACAGATCTATTGCACGACAACTTCTGTGACAGACATATAGTACGTAAGGTGATCATACCGCACAGTGTACATGATGATATAAGATGGAGGTTTTAGCCAGAGAGCAAGTCTTTGCTGGAGGGTATGAACCCACAGAGTATCCACCTGGGAAAGACGGTTTTCCTGCTCCATCCAGAGACCTATCTAGGCAACTTCACCAAGAGGGTGAAGGAAATCCAGTCTGGCTAGCCTTAAGCCGGCAGGAGACTATGCTCCGGTGTGTAAGGGAAAGGAAAACTAAAAGGACAATGCTGGAGTTTTAGGACTCAGGAAGGAGAGAGTTGGGTTGCTCTGTGGCCACCCAGGGGACAGAATATTGTGGTTCCTTTGCGTTTAAACAGCTCACTGAAAGGGAAATCAAACACAAGCAAAATGTCTTTAAACCAAGGTCAAAATATGCCATTTAGAGCCATTTAATTTAATTTTACAGCCCGTAAATGGGGTTCATTCTAACTGAAACCTCTGACATTTTAAAATTTAATCCTCAGCAAAGTTCAATTTTGTTTTTTCACTGAAATATACAAATGCTCAAATGTTAACTTCGTATATAAGAGCATAACTATGTTAACTTCAATTCTTTCATAAAGGAGATTATTCTCCTTCCTGTTAATTGCATTACGTTTGTCCCCAGAACAGCAAACAGTAATTTCACCTCACACAAACCCACGTTCCTAGCGCTGTAAGCCTACACGGTTCCTGTTAATCAACAGTCTCATAAGCTTAACCTTCTTCATGAACAAAAAGAAAAGCGTCAGTAAACAAGAGTACTTTGGTTTCCAGTTCTTAACATTCCAGGATCGAGGTTCAATCAATAATGTGTTTTATTAGCCTTTAAAAGCCCAGTGATGTCATACTACTAAGTATTTGGTACCAGAAGTCCTGGAATATTCATTAAAAGTACCAAAATACAGTCAGCCTGGATTTGTGAACATTCCAAAACGTCTATTTCTGTCGCCGTACTTGTTCTCCCAAACGTTTCGAAAAAGCTCACAGCAAATCCTGGCCGAGTTTCTAAGAGATAAGACGTCCCCACTTCTTGGAAATACCCGGCTTGCACCTACTGCATCCATGACCAGTGTCACAGGGCAAGATCCCCGATTTCCTGCCCACCTCTGTATCTAGCAGGGACACCCGGCCTCAGCTCTGTCGTTTTCAGAAGCTTTCAGACACAAGTATTCAGAGGCTTCTAGCAAAGCGGAAGAGATTTTTCTCCACTTCAAGGCACCTTGCTACATGTTCCCAACTTCTCCATTGTCTTTAACCATTTAGAAAACGCAACCAAGTGAGAAGATCCGTATTAAAAGCAGCGCTTTCAACGAGAGCGACACCAGACCCTCCAACTTCTTCCACAATCTCCCAGCACCGTGGCTTCCCCACCCCCACCCCGCAAACCTTCACCCTACGCCTGCATCCTTTTTGATTAAACGAGATTGGAAACCACAATTAAATCAAAGGCTGTCGTTAACTCTTAATCCTTCACTTACCATATCCGCCGGGACATTACTGGACATCTTGCCGTTTGACATATACCCAGATGTTTACGCAAAGAAAAAAAAAAAATTTTAAGACAACAAATTAAAGAAAAAAAAAGAAGTCTTCGAGCTAACAGAAATCAATCTTCAAGATCTTAATTAGTTCGAGGTGTGCTCTCCAAAAATAATTTTTTAAAATAAAACAGTAAGTTCTTTCCGAGCCGAAGTGCCGGCCTGGCCGGGCGCAGAGGAACAATCGCCGGCAGAGCTGTGGCCGGAGCGGAGCAACTCCCGGGTCTCTGAAGTCAGCAGCAGCGGCAGCAGCAGCGCCAGGACCGGCCACGCCAGGTGGACCGAGCCGAGTGACACACGGACATGGAGCGGGGTGGGAGGGGGTTAAATCGCCTTCCTCCTTTCCCAGCCCCGCCGTGATTCACAGCCGCTCCCGAGTCGAGTCCTCATGAAGCGGGAGGAGGATACCCGGGCGCCGTGGCACACAGAGAACTTATGTGGCTACACATGGACGTGTCCCCGGCGACCGGTGCGGGCAAACGGCTCTCAACTCGCGCGGCCAGGGCCGCGGAAACCCGCGCTCAAGGGCATTTAACTCGTTGGCAGCCGAAGCGCTAGCCCGGGCCGGAGAGCCCGGGGCGGCGAGCGGGGGGTTGGGGGTGGGGGGGAGCGCGGGGCGCTCGGCCCGCCAGGAGCGAGACCCCCACGGCCCGTCGGGGCTCAGGCCGCGGGCGCCTCCGGGCAGCCGCGGGGCTCGGGGCGCATCGTCTCCGGCTTCCCAGCGCTCCTCTCCCGCCTCCTCCGCCTGCGCCTCCCCCCCACCGTCTCCGCCTTCCGCTCCCCTCCCCGGCCTCGCGAGCTCCCTGCGACGCCGACTTCGGCCGGACCCCGGAAGAGGCCGGGTCCTTCCTCTCCTCAGCCCGGGAACCGTTTCCTCTCAGAGCTCCGTCCCTCTGCCTCCTCCTCCTCCACTTTTCAGTCCCCGACGCCGCAGCCGCCTCCTGTCATCACCCCTCAAGCCAACATGGCGGCGGCGGCGGCAGCTGCTGGAGCGCGAGCCGGGGGCCCGCGGAGAGCACGGCGCCCCCTCCCCTCTACCTTCCTCGCAAACACCGCCCCCGCCCTCCTTCTCCCCACCACCCCCCTTTCCGCGAACACCGAGTGCGTCACTACGGAGACCACCCTAGAGCATCACGGGAAATGTAGTCTACGCGGTGGGGGTGGGGGTGGGGAGCGGGACACCAAACGCGTTCCAGCCGGACTCTGAGGCCACGCCCCTCTTAGCAACAGTTACTAGGAGAGGGAAGCTCGCTCTAGCCCGGCGACTGCCCAGGAGTGTAGGGAGATACCTGCTGCCAGGAGGGCTGTAATCCTGCGAATTACTGGGGGGGAAATGATTCTGCACAGAGAAATTCCCTCATGCACAATATACTCGCAGACTTAAAACATGGTTTACCTCCAAGCAGAATCATTCATTTTAACGACAGCGCGCTCTCCACATCCTGCAATCTCAAAGCATTTCATATAGTGATTTCATCTAGGTCTCTCCTCAACAATACATTTGGAGGATCAGAAGCAATCATTGATTTCCAATAAGGTCCTAGAAGTTCAGCAAGAGTAAGGATATCATTAAGCAGGGAGAATGTTTGAACATGTGTTTCTTGACGACCCAGGGCCATAAAACTACAATCCAGTTAATCGAAATTACCCAAAACTACATTCAAGACAATAGTGTGTGAACCAAAAACTGTGTTAGATACAATAGTGTATGATGCAAAATCTCTATCAGGAAACAGCTATCTATGCCAAACCACATGGGGTGACACGAGTTTACCAGGCTAGCCCTGAAATCGCACTTAACTCAGAATGTTTTTGAAAACTTATACACCTGCAGTGATTAGCAAACAACAGAAAATAATACCATCAGTGAGAGACTTAGATGAAGAATATGTCTGCCCTAGATTTAGGAACGAAATGCAGAGACCGCAAATGTCTATCTGACTCATATCTCTCTTAGTTCTCTGAGTGTTTTAGGAAAGGCCATCTCAATAAGATACCTGTATAAAAATGCCAACAGACTTAAGTATCTGAAAGCCACCTCTCCAACCTCCAGCTCTGTGACCTCATCTGTGAAACAGTCTTGCCTACCTTCCAGGGGTCAAGTAGGGGCAGTTGTGAGGATGAGTCCATGCATGGGAAATAAACCACTTTGTAAATAATATGCATCGTTTGATGTGAAATGTTACTACTTATTCATTCAGCAAACCCTCCAGGCCCTCCGAGAGGCACCGGAAGTTTAATAGATGACTAATCCAGGCAGTGTCCTCCATTGGCTAGGAGCCTGTGTCATTCTCCCAGCAATCTCTCCAGTCAGGTGTGTCTATCATGATGGCAACCCTCAGGAAGTTTAGAGTACCTACCTCTTGAATAGCCTGGCTGGAGAAATTCCAAACACTCCCGGGGGTGTACATCATCCTGGGGTGAGTTAGGGTGGTAACCAGGAAGGAGGAGGGTACGTCAAATTCCCAGAAAGACCAAAGGGCAGAAGACAAAAGAGACCCAAACAGTGCCTGGAGTAGGTTTCAGGACTTGATCTAGATATGTCTAAGTCTGTAGCTGTGTGAGTCTCCCTGGCCTCATTCCACACATGTAGCAACCTCAGCGCCCTCTCCACCAGCCTTCTAGGAAATAAGGACTGCCACGGTGCTTCAAGGAGCTCACCAAGTTCGTCCTCCACCACTCCAAATCCCAACTTTCATCCAGCTGCTGCCCTGGCCAAGGCTCTGCTAAGTCTGAAAGTAGAAAGACAAGAAGGCGAAGACAGCAGGATGTATAGAAGCCTCAACCCACTTCCTCTGCTCTTTCCCAATAATCACACAATGATAAGAGAGGTAATGACCTCCTCTGCCAGCCCAAAACCTTGGCATCTCTGACACATGGTGCTCTGTTTGCTGCCACAGCAAAACGCAACATCTTTCAAAAGTAAAGTCCCCGCACCTGGCTGTGTTTCTAATCATTCTTCTAAGAGAGGCTGTGACATTATTCTCCATAAAATTCATTATAGCTCTTCCCTAATGGTGTTAAGGCATAAGGAAGCATGACCGGACACCACGCAGATTTTTGCACTCTCCTGTCTACTCTGTACTTCCCGATTCAGGTGGGTAAGATGAGAGGCTGGAGAAAGAGCCCCTGTGTCCACAACGGAAAAGGGTAGCATCTTTTTGATACCTTCAATCCACTGTCAGCAACAATCCAAAGAAAGTGAATGACACAGCATTTTTGTATTGGGAAAAGCAACTCCGTGGGAAATCAGAAGCCTTGCCTTTGCCAAGATGCTTTGCTTCTCTGAGCCTCAATTTCTTCATCTGCAGAGATTGGACTTAAAGTCTCTAAGTCGCTTCTAAGAGTCTATGAAGTCAAGTTCCGGAAGAATAACACATGACACCCATGATCTGTTAAAAATATCTCTCCCAAGTGACTGCTCACATGTATAAGGGTTTTTTTTGTTTTGTTTTGTTTTTTTGGTGGGGTGGAGCTGAGTGTGATGGAAATATTCTAAAATTAGATTATGGCAATAGCTGCATAACTCTAGAGTAGATACACTATAAACCATTGAATTTCACACTTTATGTGGATGAATTTATTTTTTATTTTTAAAATTACAGTTAAATATACATAATATAAAATTTACCATCTTAACCTTTTTGGGGCACACAATTCAGTGGTGTTAACATTCACTTTGTTTTACTACACTCACTACCATCCATCCACAGAACTCTTTCATCTTGTGAGACTGAAACTCCAAATCAATGAACAACCTCCCATTCCCCTTCCCTCCAGCCGTTGGCAACCACCAGCCCCTTTGCCACCTCCATCCAATGTTGCCCAAGGCTGACCTGGTCTTCTTTGGTTCCAGTGTAAGAGTCAGTTTGATGTTTTACTTTGTAAAAGTATACTAGGTTTCTTTCTCATGAGAAAACCTATATGAAGCCCCTAATGCCAATGTGAAAACTGTCAATGGAAGTGTCCTCAATAAATGTTACTTTCCTACCATAATAAAAGATCAAGGACTTTTTCTCTGAAACAGGAGATAATTTGATAGTTACTGGTTTAGTAATGGACTTTCCCCTTTTAGTCATATATATATATAATTGGCTATGCCGGGTCTTAGTTGCAGCACGAAGGATCTAGTTCCCTGACCAAGGATCAAACCCAGGTCCTCTGCATTGGGAGCACAGAGTCTTAGCCCTTGGACCAAGAGGGAAGTTCCCGCACCTTTAGTCTTTACTCTTTCCAGAACAGAATGAATGTACTATGTGTGTTTGTAGATTTAAGAACTGTGCTGCGAATGCATTTTTTGGGATGTGAAAAAAAGAGTTAAATTGTCTAAGGCAAGGCAACAGGCGGACATGTGGCTGGCCTGTTTTCACTCCTGAGGAGACCCTTACACATGAGTCACAATTATGTCTAGCCTTTTAACCTTACACTCCCCTAACCGGACATTCCCAACCCTATTCCTATAAAAATCACTAGGAGCCATTTAAAAAGATGGATGCCCCACCCCCTACCCCAGCACAAGTAAGTCAGACTCTCCTGAACCACACATGACACCACTATCTTTCAAAGCTCACCCAATAATTCACTTGTGCAGTCACAATTGAGAAACACTATGTAAGTCAAATTCCTTCAAGTTCAGCTTCTTTCCTATGTGATCCAGCAATACCATTCCTGGGCACATACCCTGAGAAAACCATAATTCCAAAAGATACATGTACCCCAGTGTTCATAGCAACACTATTCACAACAGCCATGACATCAAAGCAACCTAGGTGTCCATCAACAGAGGAATGAATAAAGAAGATGTGGCACATATATACAATGGGACAATAAAAAGGAATGAAATTGTGCTATTTACAGAGACGTGGATGGACCTAGAGACTGTCATATGGGTGAAGTAAGTCAGAAAGAGAAAAACAAATATTGTATATTAACACACATATGTGGACTCTAGGAAATGGTACAGATGAACCTCTTTGCAAAGC